CCTATCGGCTGTTTTGTGCACTTCCTCTACCCAGTTTACAGTTATAGTGGTATACAGAAGTCCTGGAATTTCCTCCAGGGGGATATTTGACTTTATTCGCACTCAGTCTGCGAATAAGTGTTTAGTTCTAGGGGGTTTCAACCTCCCGGAAGTCTGTTGGGCCGATCTTTCCTGCAACTCGGCATTAGGAACATTCGGTGCAGACTTCCTTGAACTGACTCTTCAAGTGCCTTTGCACCAGTTCGTTGACTTTCCCACTAGGTATATGCACGACCAAATACCATCTACTTTGAATTTGGTTTTCGCTAAGTCCCTGGACTTCGTGACTGACGTTTCATGCGGTGCACCTCTAGGGTCTAGCGATCACGCATGCATATCCTTTCGATGTGCTCTTTCAAGGCACCAAGATACCGCTGTTGAATTACTTCCGAATATTTGGCGGGCGGACTTTAGTGCAATACGAACTAAGGCTTCAGTTCTGAACTGTGAGATCTCGGTGGCTGACTCTGTCCAGTTAGCCTGGGATAAATTTAAGGCATACCTTACGGAGGTTTCCGCACCCTATATTCCACTCATTAGGAAAAGAGGGTTAAGGGCACAGCCTCCATGGATAGATACCACAGGCAAGTTCCTACTCAAGAAACGGTCTAGATGCTGGCGAACCTACCAAGCAGCTCCATCAGCCAGTACCTATGATAGTTATCGAGAGAATAGAAATAAATGTAAGCAACATCTCAGAACTGCTCGTCTCCAATACGAGCAGGGTTTAGCGGACTCGGGCGCAGCTAATCCCAAGAAGTTTTTTGCTTACGTTAAAAGACGCAGCGGGGCAAAACTGTCTATACCAGCCTTATTGCGAGCAGACGGGACCCGTGCGCAAACTGACTATGACAATGCTTGTACACTGAATGATCAGTATACTGGGGTCTTTGCTCGGGAGACCTCTTTACCACAGGTTGAATTGGTTTCAAGAGTTCCAGAGGATTCTTGCCTAGCTGAATTTAGCATAACGGAGACTCAGGTCTTCGAGCTACTGCAAGGCATTAATCCCTCTAAAGCTTCCGGTCCTGATTCAATTCATCCGAAGCTGTTACATGAACTGGCCACTGAGCTGAGTGGCTCCCTCACGTGCGTATTTTCAATATCGCTGGACAGCTGCAGCCTACCTTCGGAATGGAAGGAGGCAATCATCTCTCCGATTTTTAAGGGCGGTGACAGCGCTCTACCCGCGAACTACCGGCCTGTCAGTTTGACAAGCGTTGTAGTCAAGTTGTTCGAGAAGCTGATAAGGGATTCAGTGGAGAACCACCTGAATCGATTCAACCTTCTCAGTGTTGCACAACATGGATTCCGCAAAGGATTTTCATGTCAGACTAATTTACTTGTAGCTCGTGAAAGCTGGGCCGAAGCGGTAGACAGTGGCCACGCTGTAGACGTGCTATTCGTAGATTTTTCGAAAGCTTTTGACACTGTTCCACACCTTCGGCTCTCACCAAAGTTGAGATCTTACGGGATATCTGGTCGCGCCCTTCAATGGGTGTCTGCCTTCCTTGAGGGGAGGGAACAGTGCGTACGGGTGGGGCGTAGCCTTTCGCTCAGGCAAGCTGTCCTTAGTGGCGTTCCGCAGGGCTCGGTATTGGGGCCATTGTTGTTCGCGATCTATGTAAATGACTTGCCGGGAGAGCTAGGGGTGTCATCATTAATGTTTGCTGACGACCTTAAGCTCTGGAATATTGTAGATATCCCGGGGGGTCCTGAGGCAATTTAGCTTGTCTTGGATAGGCTCTGGGAATGGTCTATCTTATGGTTGATGCCCATAAATAGGGCGAAGTGCTCTGTTCTCCGAATCGGAGCTGCAAATCCTCCCACCCGATATGTTGTCGGCGGTGGTGAACTCCCTGTTGTCACTCAGCAGGTTGATTTAGGAGTCGTACATGCATCAGCACTTCATTCTGGAGACAACTGGAAGAAGGCTGCTTGTCGAGGGTTTCGTATCATGTGGTTTATCCGCCACTCTTTCGGAATCTTAACGGCCAAGTTGTTTGTGAAGCTATTTTCGGCATTCGTCCGACCCCACCTAGAATATTGTATTCAGGCTTGTCCACCATGTCTTAACCGAGACAAAATGGACTTGGAGAGGGTGTTACGAGTGGGCACTCGGTTAGTGCAGGGTCTACGGGGACAGACGTATCCTGAACGCTTGCTCAGTTTGGGTATGTACTCCATGCACTACCGAAGGATAAGGGGGACCTGATTCTCACTTATCGTATTTTGACGGGTAAGATTGGCCCGGACTTGTCAGGGCTTTTTAGTCCCGCTACGTTACCTAGTCTCCGCTGTCACCCACTGAAATTGCATAAACCACGGTCTGATAGGATTAGGACGGAAACTCGTCTATCGCGCCGAGTTATAGATCGCTGGAATTCTCTTCCAGATCATGTGGTTAGGGAACCTACAGTTAAGGGTTTTGCGCGCCAGCTCGATGCTCTTGGGTGGCAACAGCAAACCTTTCCTTTTTCCTAGCCGACTCACCTTCACTTTTCAGTTCTTTTTTATTGACTCAAATATCTTGGTATTCCACTTGCTTAGCTCTTACCACTTTCTCTTTTGCCTTCTGCGTTTACTTTTTTCTCTTTCTTACTTCACGTAACCGACCCAGCAGGGACTGCTAGGGCAGGATACGTGGGCATTAATTGGTTGGACAGGGTGTGATGCGGTCTTTGTTTTAGGTCCATCAGTATTTCAAAGTTCGCTAACTCCTGGTTCAACGACCCGCCGAAGAAGGAACACTCACGGGATAATCCTATCGTTCCAGTCCCGCTTGAACTTGACTTGAACTTCTCGGATTTTGTAAAGGATTTGCCTTCGGTTCATCGAGTGGGAAGACGTATCCGGGTTGTTAGCTATGGGGTCAAAATGCTTGAGTTGCAGTAAAGGTGTGGCTTCGCGTTCTAAGACCGTACACTGCTCTGAGTGTGACGGATGGCTGCATATTGCTTGCTGCGACATTTGTCCTGAACTCTAGGAGTCTGCAACGATGTGCTATATCGGCTATCAATGTTTCCTGTAGTCGCTGTCCTACTTCATTAACCAGTCGATGCTTTCACGCCGGACTGGCAGTCCTGAGCCCTCATTCTACTCCAACGAACTTTGAAGCTTCCACTGCATTGGACTCTCGAGAGTCCAAGATCTCTTTTCATCATCTTTTTAGTCCACACCTAATTCTGGCTCACCTACCACCACGGGTAAACGAAGCCGTATCCAATCTGCTTCCCAATCAGAGCCTTTGACACACGCCTTGCCCAGCAAGCCCACGACTAAGACACGCTGCCGTGGTGCGGAAAACTCCCACTGTCCCGATGGGTCGGAATCCAACTATATGTAATTTTCAGGCGAAGTCTTAGTCCAGACCCAAGAAAACTGCTTTCCAGTTCTAAATGAAATCTGTTTTCGACAAAGTCAACAATCTGGTAGAGTTGCTCAAGGACTGCGTCACCACAGCCGCAGATCTCTGGCCGCGCTCTACCACCCTCTCGTGAAAAATGTCTTATCATTGTGAACGCGCCAGAATCCACCAAGGACACCTCTGCAGAAAGAATGCTGCATGACAAAGGGTTCATTGAGCGAATGATTTCCATTTTATTCGATGAAGCTGAATTGGGTACAAACATTATCTCTGTCTTCCTCCTGGGCGGGAAGCAAAAGGATCCTTCTGAGGTACGCCCCCTCAAGATCGTATGCCAAAGCGAACATGAATGCCGACGCATCCTCCGGCGAACCCCAGGTTTGAAACTTGAGCCCTTTTATGTCCTGAGATCTCCGGAAGATCGTATTAAAATGAAAACAGCCGTTGATGAACTGCAGTCCCGACGAGCCAATGGTGAGACAGATCTCCACATCGTGGATTTTCGCGTAAGCCGGAGAACCCGAGAACCCTTTGGAGGCCAATACTCCTCAACCTAGGACAGTATAGCATGAGAACGGACTGCGTGTAATTTTTGCCAATGTCCGCAGTCTGAGAAATAAATTTGATGAGGTAGTTGCTTGCGTCAGCTGCTTGCCTAGACTTGATGGCCTTCACCGAAACTTGGCATTTTGCGGACATCATAGATTCAGAGGTTTTTATCCCCGGATACAGTCTCTGTCGAGCCGACCGCCTTGGAGGTAGGCGCGATGGCGGCGTCATACTTTACTGGGAGGCGAAACTCAAGGCCCATTTGGTTGCAGCTACTAGTGGCGACGATGGTGATTTTGATGCTCTTTGGTGCCGCATTTATGATGGATGCAGATCCTTCACTATTGGTGTTGTCTGCAGAATGCCATCGGGATCCGGAGTACAGTTGCTCGATTCGATCAGGAAACACGGCGCGGGAAAAGAAAATCTTACCGTGGGGGATTTTAATGCACCTAATATCGATTGGGACTTACTTCTTTGTGGTAGTCCACCTGGTTCCTTTGATGATACCTCACTTGAGACTGTCATCGATTGTAATTTGTTTCAGCACGTCACCATGCCAACCCGCATTGTTTCCAACAAAACGCAAAACATTCTAGACCTTGTGCTCACTTCAGCCCAGTCAGATGTCACGAATCTAACAGTTCTTCAACCCATCGGCAAAAGTGACCATTGTGTCGTTTCATTCCAATGGACACATCGCCTCACGATCCATAGCCAAAGTGGTTGTCGTCGGAACTTTTGGCATGCGGATCTACTCCGTCTGAGAACAGCCGCAAGCGCTATGGACTGGAGTAGTCCTGATTCCATTCCTCTTGATGATGCTTGGAACGTTGTGCTCTCCAGAATAACTTCCTAATTGAGCAGGTCGTTCCTTTCTCCCCTAGAAAGTCCTTCAAGTGGGCTCCACCTTGGATTGACAGTGAATTGAGATCTCTGGTGAACAGAAGACGCAAATTGTGGGACGATTTCGGGCAATCTCAAACAGGGTCCGATTACTCTTCCTACAAGACTACTAGGAACGTTTGTGTCACGTTGAAGCCCCGGAAACGTCAGCAATATGAACTATCATTAGCAGTACACTCCAGAACAACACCCAAAATGCTTTTCCTTTATCTGTAAAGAAACACCAGGGCTGGCAGTGGCATCCCTACCTTGTGTTCTTTTGAACATCGAAATTTACGAAGACGCTGATAAAGCCCGTCTTTTGGCCCAGCAGTACGCCTCTGTCTTCACGAGAGAAACTCCCGCCTGCGATAACACAGCGTCCAGTTTTCCTTATCTGTTGGAACATGTAGACGTTAACATCAATACTGTGGTTAAACTTCTCCTTGATTTAGATCCGCATTTTTCACCCGGCCCGGACGGCTTGCACCTCCTGTTTTTAGGACTGTGGCACAGTACATCGCTCCTCTGTCAGATTTTCCGTCGTTCCTTTGATGCTGGGCGTTTTCCGTCGACTTGGAAAGTGGACATTGTCAAACCCATATACAAACGAGATCCAGCCAACTATCGTCCTACCTGCTTAACCTCGATATTGTATAAAGTTATGGAGCGGATCTTGTAACAGGCTGTTCATCTCTACCTCGAGGAACTGAATCTCTTCTCGTGCACATCATGGTTTTCGAAGCGCATGCTCATGTACCTCGAACTAAGGAGAAATTGGCGAAGTCGCTAGATTCCGATAAACGCCTGGACGTTGTGTTTGTGGATTTCAGCAAAGCTTTCGATAGGGTCCCGCACGAACGACTTGCTTAAACTCCGAGGGATCGTTATCGCCGGGAATCTTCTCTCTTGGATATCTGATTACCTTCGCGACCTCACGATGCAAGTGCAAGTAAACGATCCATTTTCTGCGCCTGTTCTCATGACTAGTGTAGTCCCACCGGGTTCTGTCCTCGGCCCCGTGCTTTTCAACGTCTTCATCAATGACTCCAGGCGGATTGCCTAATCTACACCGACGACCTGAAGCTGTGGATGGAGGTATCCAGTATGGAGGATGCTGACAGGTTACAATCGACGGTCGATCTGCTACATGATTGGTCAATTAAGTGGCAGTTGCCAATGAATCGTGAGAAATATTCGGTTCTTCCAGTTGGTGCGTCTGACCCATTTTGAATCTACCATGTTGGTGGTTCCTTGCTCAGAAACGCCACTCAGGAGAGGGATTTGGGGAGTGATACTCTCGCCTGATCTCAAATCTAATGGAGATACCAAGAAAAAGGTCACTGCGGCCTACAGCATGTTTCACTCTATACACAGAGCCTTCTCTCGCCTGACCGTGGGGCTCTTCCAACTCCTGGTTACTTCACATGTACGCCTGCTTCTCGAATACAGGCTACCTGGCGCCTACCCTTTTACGAAATTTGAATGTGGTATGATTAAAAAGGTTCCACGGCGTGGATGCAAATCTGTTCCTGAGCTGCGGGACCTGTCCTATTCTCTCCGACTCAAACAACTGAACCTCTTCGCTTGATTACCGTCGTCATCGCGGAGACTTGGTCTTCACCCGACGTATTCTTAGAGGAGAGTTGGGGAGGGAATTCCAAGAATTCTTTCATCTCAACACAGAGTTCAACAAGAGGCCACAGTTTGAAACTGTTCAAACCGAGGAGTCATCGAGTGCGATCCAGCCTGGCTTTGCCCACTCACGTTGTGAATGACTGGAATCCTCTTCCGGAGTCCATCGTCGTTGTCGAGACCGAAGAACGTTTCAAGCATTTATTGGATTCTCATTTTGGTTTACGGGGATCCAGCTGTTTCCAATGCAGCTTCAGTGGTTCTCTGTGGGGCCTCGTTCCGCAATGACCCAG